AATCTTTGGAATGGAACCACGGCCTTAAGTGGTACATGCACTTGTTAAGCTTGGAGGCCAAAGACTATAACCAAAATATATTGTATGAAAAGTCTAAAACATAAAATAACTTAAAAAAACAAGTAAAACAAAAAATAGCCTTTGTTCTTTCAGATGCCTTTCTTCACCTCTCTGGCTCCCCCGTGTGGTGGTTCTAGGTTACACACAGACAGTGGTATTTCGGAAAGGGAGACAGTGTGCTGTGGGGGGTAGTTCAAGGCTATAGGAGTCAGGAGATCCAGAACTCCCTAAACGGAGTCAGTTCTCAGCTGCTGTGGAGCTTAACTGAGGACAGACGATGATGGGAGTGTCTGTCAGCATTTGGGGTGGGAACGTAGATAGGAAGAAAACAGACCTGCTGGGTTGAAAGGCCAGGTCCATCCACTCTGGAGCTTTGAAAGTCTTTTGTCTGATGGTTGAATGGGGACAGGGTCACTTACACAGAGGCACAATGACTGAGACATCAGGGTCAATAAGATAAATCCATGTGCTTGTGGAGAGATGGCTCAGTTGGTATGTATGCCCTCAACAATGGTGCGCGAACATGAGGACCTGAGTTGTGGCTTCCATCTTGGATCATTACTCAGGTTCTCTCTGTACCTTCCTCTAGAGCAGCAGGTCTCAGAAGGAAGTGATCTGTCCCCTCTTTTAGGACATCTGGTCGTATGGGGGCATGGTTTTGATTGTCAGATGGGTGAGTGGGCTTTCACCCACTCCAAAGGGTTGATCTCCAAAACCATGTAAAAAGCTGGTGCAATGGCACAGGCTTGTGATCACAGCACTGAGGATGTGGAACCCTGGAGCTGCCCTGCCAGCCTCGAGTAATCAGTGAGCTTCAGGTTCCAGGGAAAGAAGGTCTCAAAAAACAAAGTAGACTGCTGAAAACAACACCCAAAGTTGATCTCTGGGCTCCACATATGTACCTGTGATGTGCATGTGCCCCCCCCCCACAAATAATAGAAATACATTTTAAAAATGCTTGTATACAAAAGAAACTGAAATAGAAGTCATTTGGAATAAGGCTAGAATGATCCCAAGCATGGTCATGCCGAGAGAGATCACCAGGAACTGCCATGGGAGGGGCTGGCCTTAGCAGTAGACTCTGAAGTCCATTGGGTAGAATATGGGCCCTGGGGAATGGGCTTTGAGTGACAGGGGGCTGCTTAGGTTCATCTCTTACAATCTGCATATTCCACATTCAAGAAAAGTGTGTCAACAGCCAGAGGGCCAGAGCTGTCTGATCCTGGAGAGCACAGTAGAATAAAAATCAGAGGGTAGCCAAGCGCAGAATCTTCTCTTGAGCTAGGCTTTCACAGAAGCAACGGGAGGCTGGGCTCCTTCATT